TCCTGAGAGTTGCATTTCGTCATAATCCATGTGATCACTGACCAGCAATCAGCAAAATGTATAAAACAACAAATAACAGAATGATGTGTTTTGTAAAGTCGAAGACTAAATAACAAAGAATAAAATCTTGAATAATAAGCAAATAAGGGTTCATTAATGTAAATATACGCTTCGAATGAAACTGAACCCGTCTTCGGAGTATAGTCCAAAACGTTAGTATCGTTATGTAATACTTGTAATTAAAGATTTTATACCTTGTTATCTTGTTTGGGACTTTCTGAAACATATTGCTATGTTCCGCACAAAGAACTAATGTACTACTTTCAAGAAATAATGAAATGAAATTAAATAGTAGAAACTAGATTAGTGAATTTCACGTACGTAAAAAATATTGAAGCTAAATTTTTTGCTGACCCGAACTTCACTTAATGTTTTAATGAAGACGAATTTGCCGATATATTACTTTGCTGGTAGAAAACTTACAGTTGCTCAAGTCATAATTCGATATCACTGTTATGGTGACTTGGTATCATATTTGTAACGATGCATATACTTTGACAAGCTGTTAATTATTTTTCATGAAACTTTTCAGTTGCCTAAGATGCACGTGTATATCTGCCTACCAAAAACCGCGTTATGCCGAAATTTTACTGTATAGTCTTCAGAAAAACTTCAGGTGCAAAAACTCAATCGATCGCTCTTGAGTTTAACTTGTCGAGAAACCTGCAACGGTAACTAACTTGAGGAAACACTGAGGGCACAGCTTGTTGTTCTGTGCGTTGTTGTTTACAAACGTACAGTAAATAAACACACAAACGAACAGCATCTACGAACATGCATGCCTTGAACAGCTGTGTTGCCATTTGGATCAAACAGTATGGAAGCCTGTGGCGCCAGATGCAGGTTAGCGTTAGCAGAGATAACTGTAAAAGGACAAGGTTTATTTTATTTCTCATTTACGATTTATACGTTGTTCTATCAGCTATTCGGTGGGCCAAGACGACTGCTAGAACGTTTTGCTGAAAGATTTATCAGACCACATGTGTGCTTAGATTTTCAAATCGTTTGCCGTGTTTGTTTCAAGTAGAAACCTGCAGGAAAATAAGTTCTCCCCTGAAGAAACCCTGATACAACGCCTCCTCATTCATAAGGCAGTATTTCATAGCAGAAGCCTTTATGAGCTTTTCGTATACCCTATCTCTTTAGCCAAATTCTGAAAGGTGATTACAAGTGAGACGTTGAGACGTTCGGCAGTTCACGTTGCTAGCTTATTAGTGAGTAACTTTTATTTGTGGCGTTTCAGTAATCAGCTCAAAGCTTCGGTTACGCATCGATGAGATTAATAATGCGCTGTTTGTGCTGAGGCTCATTCATGATTTATGTAATTTGAAATGACCGTAATTCAACGATGGCTGAATGCTGTTCAACAACGTCAGTTGGCAGCAGGATTTAATCGCATTTTACGATTCCTCAGTCAAAGGGTCCATCCAGGCAAAAGCAGAGGCAGGAGGTCAGGAATTATGGATGCAATTAAATTCCTAATAATCTAGAATTATGTTGACCATGCTGAATATGCGAAATTGAACGCGACGCCCGGATAGCCGACTCTCGCATCCCGTTAGGAAGCTTCAGACTGACTCGACAGATTTCAGTTTTATTCACTGAAATTCATCTTCGGTAACAACGTTCGACCAGCGCTCGCACTGTAACTATGCTACAAGCATAGATCACTGTCTCGAACTCTGTACGATGGAAGTAAGCTGAATTGAGAGGCCATGAAAACTCTTATTTTCAATAGTTCACTCCTTGAGCAACGAACTAACAACTTCTGAACAGCTGCGACCTCACAGTGTCTTTTGTCCGCTTCATAAGCGCGGTCATCAGCTCTCAGGCTTTAATAGCAAGTCCATACTCGAAACGACTCTTATTTTGTTTTGGGAAGAGGTGTCCCCAGCAGATGTGCCGAAACGGAATCGGAGGTTGACTTTGTTAGCCGTGACGACAGGCGTTCACCAGCAGACCGGCGTACTACTTGGAATAATAGGGTAGAGGCAGGCCTGCGTTAGAAAAGAAATTGTTGCTAATGCGCTGCAGTAATCAATGTCTCCTATTCAAAGCGATGAAAAGACGCGAATACAATGGACGACACAAACGTCATAAATCAGAGACGTTCTTTTTGCCCAAACGGCTCAACGTGATGACCATGCAGGCAAACAAGCACAGTGAGAGGGGGGTCAGTGCGCCGTAAAATGTGATCTTGGATTATTCGGCGTTATTTGGCATACTCGGGTGTACGAACAACTGGTCATATTGACACGGTGGTACATGAGGAGTGCCAGCTTTTGAAACCTCGTTCAAAAGTCATGACGCGAGGTAGCACTGGCGGGCGAAGTACGTGCCATGCATTTCGCACTGCAGGCACTCAATTATCATTAAACCGTGGTCTGTTTAAATGATCCCCTGGGTAACTAAGAGCAAAAGGGTGGTGAGACATGCCGTGAAATCTGGTTGTTTTTATAGTAGTTGTGAGTAATTTAACATACGAACAAGACACAAAAGTTCACAGCGTAAACTGTTTACGGCTACAAAAACAAAGAAAGTATCGAATTTCGTACCAAGCCTCTACAGGGTTGAGTTCATTCTCTCCATGCACTGCGGTGGTCGTGGCGGCTTGTCGTGACCCTTAAAAAATGAAATAATAAAATACTGATTTGCACGGGGGACTGATCCCCGCGTTGCCTCAAAGTAATTTCATTCTAGACAAAGACGACAAATCGTACTGCGAGTGATTGTCCATGTGTACCCTGAGGAGTCCTTTAATTACGTCATTAACGTTTTATAAGACGGCGGACATTAAATGGAGTACCGGAAACGTGCCGCGACGTGATCATGCCAGAAC